GTGAAGTGACCGTTTACGCTACTTCTTTACACGAATTAGGAAGGTTGAAGCTGCCATCACTCAGTGCTCCTATTGTATGTTTTGCCCATTATATTCGAAAACAGTGCTAAGTTTTTTACCAACTTTTTCTCATAGCTTACTTTTTCTCCTACTTTCCCTTTTTGCGCTTACTACCTTCACTTGAAGGTTAGTAAGAATGAACTGAAACAGTGGTGCGAAGTTCTAATGATCATTAGTAATCTAACTTCAAAACATAATCATGTAATTTAGATTCGCGCCCCGGAAATGATAGGGACAGACATTCTGTTGCTTGTTACGGAGCGCCAACTTTTACTTCTTCGTTTGAGTGAATCCAATTCAGTTGGTTTACTAGCAACCCTTGAGAGCCCATTTTCAATCAAAACGGCTTCTGTAGTTATGCAGACTGTTAGCAGGTCATAATATTGCATTTTTATGTAATTTATGCCGTTTGGAGCATTGCACTGAAGACAACTATTTCAGGCAAATTTGGACTGGTCATTCGGAAGGCCGTATATCCATTCATCATCTTAGTCAAGAAGACAAGTTCTCGTTTTCTTCTTCGTTGTATTTGCCAGATGATAACGTGATTGTAAAAGATATAGTGGCCAGTAGAGATGGGAATAATGTATGGGTCACCTATGAAGGAGGTAGGTTCTCGTTGATTCATTGTCTTCGGTCCCAAACAAGCAGTTGTGACCTTTCCAAAAATCATAGTTTAATCTTATTGCGCTCATGGTGTTTGTTAGTCAACGGAAGACGAGACATATGATTGGTAAGAGCGGAACAAACAATCAGTACTTGTCCTTGCTTAATATGTGGTGATTACTTATCTAATTATGAAAAAGTTCATGAGAATAGAATTTTCGTAGTTATCCATGCTCCATTCTATAAAGTTTTCCAAATAAAAGCAGACTTATGAATATAAAACTCCTTAGTTTATCTTGCAGTTGGTAGAGATTATGCAGAAGGGTTCAAAACGAAGTTTTCTTCCAATTTTTCCTTTAAGGATCTCGCGTATTTTGTTATGATGTTGAAAGACGTCAGATCTGTTCGTCACTTGATATTCGAAAGGTTATGCCGGGTGGGTTCTAATAATTGTTTTCGAGCCTCATTCTTTCAAAAACTTCTTCTATTGAGCTGTCAGCTAAGTTCGCGTCACTTTTTGATTCAAAATTTAAGCAATCGAAAGTCTTGATGGCACATAGTATATTATTCAAATTAGAATTCATCCTGTACAAAAGGTACTCAAATGTTTCAAATTGATTTTGTTGAACTGAAAGTAATTGAGAATGTGTTTCCAAAGGGCTAAAAAAGCTCAATTGACGGTTAATTTTTTTTTGATTTGTGAGGGGCCGAAATTCAGAGTTACGCTGATATGGTAATTGGCTATGCTGATAACA